AGTGACTGGGTTTAGCATAAAGTAAGCCATGCTTTAACTATAATTTATTGAATAAATCACAGTAGAATGGATTTTCCAATACACTAATCAGTAGACAATAGTTTATAGACTGTTGTGTTTGGGCTCACATATGTAAGGTCTAAACCAAGCAGACCATATTGTGGTATAAGGTGTGATTTAGCCAGTAAATCTACCCTAAATATCAATAATGCTACTTTTAATCCCATGTGATCTTGTTTGTAGGAATGCTACAAACAAGATCATATGAGATTAAAAGTAGCATTATTAACTATGGTAGAAAAATCCTTGCAGAGGATACAGAACATATTGCTTAGTTAAAATATTACCATTCTTCACTACTTCCAAGTCAATTAGTAATTAACTGTTGAATTCAGGTAGTATCTAGCCATGCCAGATGTTAATTCTGGCAAAATGAACAAAGGCAGTGAGAAATAGCTTGCATTTTATTCTAGCAGGAAAATATGCTTTAGTTCCTAAGTACAAGAAGGCAACCTGAAAGAAAAAAATACATTATTTCCTTCCCTTAGTATCATTTTACTATAACTGCATTTTTACATGTTTGAGGCACAAGCAGACTTAAATTTAATATATTTCATAGATCAGCTAAAGGTTACATTGGTTTGTTTTATGATACCTACATTTTCCTAACCACATACGGTTTAGCTGTGCACCTAACCATAATGTGGCATTAAATTACTGAGTTCCTCTGTATTTTACAAGCAACAGAAATGAAGGACACAAATATGCATCTTGGGTTGGTTTTAAACAAATACTTACTTAGAGACGGCTCATCATTAATCAATGGGACTTTAGTTGTGACCAGATCAGGATCTAACCCATTAATAATTATGTACACTGCTATATATAATTGGCATTATCTGCCTATTTATCATACAATATTCTCATTGCTTTAACAATAGATTAGGAAGTTACCAGGACTGGATCCAAAATGATCTTTCTACAAAAAGGGCTTCATTTTCAGAGGTAGAGAAACTTTGACTCCAATTCTGATAACAGATATAACCTTTGATAGCTGAATTATTCTCCCCTTATTATCAGCAATCAGTGGAAGAAGATGCTTGTGAGTTTTCTTGAAGTATTCCATGGAAACAGTACTAGACTAGCTATAATATTTTGCTGTAAGCCTTTTCTTGTTATTAATGATATAACATTTAGCTTGCATGCTCATATCTTCATTATATCGTTCCTTTTCCAAATTTCCCCATTACTGTCAGTTGCTTGAAAATTCATAGGAAGCTTAAATCCATGTGGGGAAGGGAGTGATGAAGTATCAAAAGTTCCATCAGAAACATGTAAGATGCAATTTGATCATAAACATCTAAACTTTTATTCTAAATGACAAATGTGATATCATTTATTCAGCAGCTATACCATTTAATAATGAAATCAGCTTATTCAGATTATCTTTGGGGGGGAAATGCACCATGCCTCTTGCAAAGCTGTAAAATGCTGCTAGAGGCCAATATTTCTTTAGTCAATATTCCTGTGTCTTGCATTAATACACATTCCTTTCAGTGCATCCTGTGTTTTATTCTTCTCTTTAAGAATGGGACAGAATCAAACCAGGGAGACTGAAAAATGATCTCCCCCATGTTCTTTTTAAAGTATCTCTTATCTCTACTTTGAGCTAGGTCAAATTTGAAATAGTTCAGATCACATTCTCCCCATTCTCTGGCTAGTCCCCATCTATTTTCCATAAAAGAACCAATTAGACTGAAAAAGAAACGCCAGCTGACAGAACAGTTCTTGTCGACCGTTCTTGGTGGCAAATAAGATGCATTTTTTCTGCTAATTCACTAAGTAACACATTGCATGTACCACATGAAGTTTCCTGCCGGATCACAGGATTGACTAAAAGCTTCACGGTCCAGAAGAAAATGTTGCCGTTGGCCTGCTCCTTTCCTCTCACCCCCATAGTATTGTTAGGCTAAACTCAGCTAGGTAGCACATGGCAAATCTTTGCTGATCTTCTAAAGATCAACAAGATCAGAGCTAGTTAGTATTGGGATAGGAGACAACTAGGAAATACCGGAGCTATAAGCTTGACTGGGAAGCTGAAAAACATCCCAGAAGTAGCCAATGTACTTTTGTATTGTTTCTAGAAAACTACATGGATGTGTCCACGATTAATCATAAGTCAAGGTTCTTGTTGGGGCCTTTTCTCTTACCATATTGTTTGGCTGGTACGCTTGGGCAACTTGCAGGGAATTCAGGAGAGGAGAGTCAATGAAGAAATTTAAAAGGAATGAATGTATCTTTTTTTGGTGATAATTTTATTGAAGTTTACAAATACAAAGATAAAAGAGTAATACTACACCTTTTGTAGCATTTCAATTATAAAAAAGCATCTCTTCTTCCCATAACTCATCTCTTATCAATAAACAAATCGTAAAACTCATAATTCAGTTCTATTCAACAAAAGTCCATTAAGAGCTACCAGAAATAATAATTTTAACCTTAATGAAATAAATCCATTTTGTTTTTCAACTTATCACTTTCTCTAAGAGATAAAGGAAAATAAGTCTCTCCCCAGTTGTAAACAAATCTTTAAAACATTGTCATTCGGTCCTAAATAAATTCCATTAATAGCTACCAGAAACCACAATATATATATTTAACCTTGATCAAATACATTCACTTGGTAATCTTTCTATTTACTTTTAAAAAGCTTGGTCGTTAATCCTGACAAGTAGTGTCCCACAAGTTGATTTCTTATCTTTTTCTCTTTGTCTCCTCTCAGGAACTGTTTCAGTAGTTTAACAGGTCTCTTTTGTAAGTCCAAAATGAAAAAGCTATGCAAGTCACTCTTCTGATGTATTATTTGTATGTTCCCTTTAGTTATTAAAACATCTGTCAGTTTTATTTGTAAATCTACTATAGCATCTTTTCCCATGTCACTCTTATAGTCTGTCATTTTTAAATCTGTTTTCAAATCCACATTCAAATCAGCCTCAGTCTCTATTTTATCCTGTAAAGTCTGTTCCTCTTCTGTAACCTCTGTTATATCCATTTCTATAGT